CAGTAAGGAATCCTGCTTGAGTCTGACAGTGAACCAAACTAATTCTGGTGACATGTCTCTATATGAAGACAGAGCCAGCAGCCTAACCTGCATCAAGATTCAAAATGAGGAAACAACTTGTCTCTGTGACACCAAGAGCTGGTTTATTATTTTTGTATCGTGTTTTTTTATTCTAAATGAAAACTTTGAAAACAGTCAGTGGTTTCACAAAGTGTGTGGAGGCATTGATGTATAACTGATGTTGCCAGGAAACCCTCTATTCTTTAAAAGGCATCTCATAGTTGTTGAGTATTTTCAAAGTGTTTCCTTCAAGATGATACTCCTACAATCTCATGGAATTAAGACACTTATGTTTTAGTAAAATAATTCTGGCTCACAGAGGATAATATAAATGTCTATAAAACTTTAAATTGCTATAGATATGATTAAATAATGCTAAATATATAGATAATCTATTTAGAGCTAAAATAACTGACTCCTTTTATACTTTTCACATTGAACATTAAAATATTTAAAAAAAAACGTTTTTTGCAGCTTGTCAAGACCTCAGCAGAAACAAATTTAAGCAGACTATGTCACCCTCTATCTTTTATTACACTGGATTAAAGTTCTAGGGTTTTTTTCATGTTACTTTTAGAGCAATGAATGGCTTAGCCATTACATAATGTGTCTTTTATCTTCCCGGGTACAAAGCGTAGCATTCCCCCACAGACAAAAAACACGCTCTCTGGACGGTTCAGGCACAGGCAGGATCATTATGAGGTGAATGGTCACTGTTTTCATTTTTCAAACCACACTTTGCTCATTGAATGTGACGTGGCAGTTGCATTTATAGGAAACTAACAAATTCAACCACTGATGTAACACAGTTGCACAAAGACGTGTTTAAGACAATGCAGAGTGTCTCTGATAATCCACAGACTGGGGGACTGGACTCAATCTAAATTGCTGTGAAGTCTTCTAACACCACAGTTGCTGGATTAGTGCAATACTGTCGGATTGGACATTGCACGGCAGACGATTGAGAGAGTGTCACACACTTACACACACACACACACACACACACACACACACACAGACTTAGTGCAGCTACATTATGTGTGTGGTTTGTACTACTTTACAGTACTCATAGTTTTTGGATATTTTCTCGATCTAAGTGAACTTGCATGAATGAAAAGTGTTATTTATGCATCTGAGGCAAACTGAATCTAAGACTTGTGATCTGTGAAAAAAACAAGTGACAGGAAATCCAGAGCCGATGGGTCCGACCCTGTGAGTGAACCTGGAATCATTTGAGGCCATCTCTCTCGGGCGTGCCAACATTCACACATAACATGGTACTCTCAGTAACATCTGCGTATTGTGATTCCCTACAACTGATTACATCAGCTGCAAACACAAGCTCTAAACGGTGACACCAAGTTAATCTCTGTGTAATGAAGCAAAGTGGGTGAAAGGTCAAGTGTTGTGTCACAGCAACGCCACGTCCAACGCAGTGGAACACACACACACACACACACACACACACACACACAGACAAATAATGTAAATGAGTGTTTGTGAGGTTCTAGGATCAAATGTTAATTTTCCTGTAGAAAATTTGAGCAAAATATTCTACATCTCTGTAAAACACTTAATTGACATTTCTGCTCTCCTGCGTTATATAAAGTGATGAAAACGGTCCTTACAGGATGAGGCCGGTGTTTTTTTTTATCTCTTAATGTTCGAATTTTGCCTTTTTTAACATTTTAATTTTAACTTGCACAGGATGGAATCCATCGGGATGTTCTTTTGTTCTTAGGCTATTGTTACCTCCAAGGGAAAAATTTAGTGGGCTATTCAAGGGGCAATTTTTAATTTCAAATCATAATCAGACAAGCCTGGTTAAAAATGTATGTGTGTACTTTAATGGGGCAGGGGAATAACAACGGTATGGAAGAGGACATGCATACATTTTATTTGACTCTCTTTTCCTGCGATAGTTAGTAAATTATTTTATGTTTTTCTCGAGCTCTCGACTTGTTTGTTCTTATCTTAGCATAACAACACTTGTCTTCCCGTAATAATGAGTTAATTTCTGTTGCTTTCTTGAGGTCTCAATAAATGAACTCCTTATCACAGGAAAACCAGATTGTTGTCCCAAGACAACAAGAAAAAGGAGATAACCTCAGAAGCTCATCATCACAGGAACACATGTAGGGATTTATGTCTGCTTTGGGCTTCCATACCAGGGGAATATTAAGATTGCAATTCTTTCTTATTAGCACTCATTCAACTTCAAAGTTTTTTTTTGTTTGTTTGTTTTTTTCATTAAAAAATTCCATTAAAAGAGATAAAGCATCATTGATTTTATCATCCTGACAAAATGCTGTCTCTGAAAGCAACCCTTTCTTCAAAACCAAAAAAACAACAGGTACATTACATATTTATGAAAACTGGTTAAGTTGTATGTTTATTTAGAAGAACATGCTGAGACTACAGGACTTGTCTGCTCTGCATGGTCACTGACTTTGATTAGGAAAAAATGAAACATTTTGATGCTTTGTCACATATGGAAGGACAAGAGTGCAGAAAAATATCTGACCTGCATGACTTTACCTTCTTACTGTGAGTCCAAAGCAAAGTCCACAGGAGGAGAAAATACTGCATGACCTGAAAACTTACAGGACCAGAAACTCTTATGTAACGTTATTAACGTTACATGTTGTTCAACAAACTCATCTTTGTTTGAGAGGAAGTAACAACAAAAGCTTAATAAAAGAACACAGAGTTAATACAGTAAACATGCACACTGATGGGGAGTTAGTCTTTGTTCAGGCTCTGCTAATGTTTGAATTCATAGAGGTGGTGCCGTGATGTAGTTCTAATCATATCATTGTGACTGCTCCTTCTACACACATCATGAGAGATCATTTACAGTTCATCAAAGACCTTACACTTTTAAGAAAGCAGACATTCTGAACTACGTGCCTGAAGAACTTTTTTTACCTACTTAATATTGTAAATTAGCAGAAGTAGACAAAAAAGCTGTATACTGTAGGTGCAGCAGGAGTTCTGACTTTTCAGAACTCCTGACTTTTCTCTTTGTTTCAGTGACCTCACCACCATCTTGAGGTTTAAACAGCCATCTTCAACATTGTATTTCATAACATCCTCCATTTTTTATGGTCCAAAAATAAAAAAACTAAAGGTACTTTAGACAGGGGTTTAATGTTCCAGCATTTATACCTCAATCATGTTTTTATTTAAACAAAATGTACAGATATAATGTGTCTCCTAAATCAAGAAAGAGTTCTTGTCAGTTCAAGACCTTAGAAATCTGCAGACTCCATCAAACAGACTTAAAAACAAGAAGATATAACAAGTTGACAATTCTGTAGGATATCAGCTGCTGGAATAAGCCAAAAGGTCAAAAATGATGATAAATAATAATTGTATGTAATTATTGGCTCAAGCCTCCAAAGAAAGCTTTTATATGAAGAGCTCTACTTCTAGTATATTTGTAAGGTCTGGTTTCTTTGTAGCCCGACGTAAACTTAATACATGATGAGTTCTATACAGGCATTTGTATGGAAGCCCAAAGCGGACAATCCTCCATACATTTAATTTACTCCAATTTCCTGTGATAATGAGAAATATCAAGCCTTAATGTTTTAACTGGATTATTTGCTATGCAATCTAGAAAAAAAACAACAGTCTGGTCACTGTGATAGGACAAACCAATACATGCCATGCTGCTTTCGTCAAAACCAGTGAGGTGATGTTTTGTGCTTTTGCAACTGTGGGGATACAAAAATAAAAAAGAAAGGAAGAAATAAAATGTATCAATATATATCTGCTCAGGGCTTCCCTTGATTTGTTCACATAAAAGTACTGTTTTTAATATAAGATGGCACAGTGGTGCTGTGGTTTGCACTATTCTGGGCTGTAGGGTTGAACCTGTGAGCCATCTGGGGCCTTTCTGTGTGCAGGTTTCATCCATGTGCCAGAGTTACTACTCTCTGAGGGCTCTGGCCACATTTCACATTAAAAGCCATGCAAGTGAGGTCAATAAGAAACTCTAAATTCTTACGTATGTGTAAGTGGAGGTGAATTTTGCAATAGTTTGTGTGTATATGTTTCCTGTGATGCACATTGTTGGAAGCATGCGATATAAAGTAAGTTTTGCTTACTTACTTACTTACTTACTAGCTCTAAAACGTTGATTCCCAACCTATAACTCTACAAAATGTTTTACAGCAATGTATCACTTCTTTTGTGCGGCCCTGACAGGGCTCAACTTTTGTTTTATATACTGTACAAGTAGAAGGTTTCCAAGGATAAAGATTTGCAACAACGTCTCTTAAATATAAGAAATTGTTTTAAAAGTGACCACTCTATATGACAAAAAAATACAAATCTAGAGGATAAAACCAATGATTGTTGTGCTTTTTGGCTATATAGAAATTACTGACAAATAAATACAGTGGAACCAAAGTGGGATTTGTTATGACATATATTGATGTCAATTTCAATACTGATACTGACAGTGATTTTAGAGGGGGGGAAATCTGCATTATTTACCTATCCAATAATTTAAAGATTAATTTTCATTGTAGTGCAGATTTAGATTTTTTTCCTCATCTGTGATGCTCTGCTTTGTGTACTGCAGACAGTGCTGAGAATATTGTACTCTACTGTCGAATGCAATCGAACTGTTTGCATAAGTGTCTGATGACACACTCTTTAAAATACTCCAAGCATGGTTTTCTGCATTGCAGGATCTGCAAAAGAAAATCCTTATCAGCGCATTTCTATAAAAACACATATTTTAAAAATACTTATATATATTTGTGAAAGGCCCATGTCAGCCAAATAGCATTGACTTACTGAAATATAAAGGTGGGACTCTACGGGGAAATATGAGAAATGAAATAAGAAAATGTAAACATGTTTAATTGCTAACTTAGTATCTGAAAGAACTTCAAAGTTTTGCATCTTTTTCTGTCTTGTTCTCACAGATGCGTATCCGGTCTCAGAGGTGGTCTACACCTGGACTAAGGGTGCAGCCAAGTCAGTGGTGGTGGCAGAGGAAGGCTCTCGACTGAACCAGTACCATCTGATCGGTCAGTCTGCAGGAACAGAAGACATCTACACCAGCCGAGGTAAACAAGCCACAGTAATCTGTGACCCAGGTACACTTGGGATCAGATTAAAGATGACCTCCTACAGTTTACCTGGATGTGGGGCATTCCCTTGTGATTTCATCTATTACTCACTTGTTTCCTCCTTTACAACCCCATAGTACACATAAACTGTATAAAAAAGCCCCTTTCTGCAAAATTTTCCCAAAACGTTCAGGAGGAAGAACATGACAGAAGATTGATTAAGAGGCTGGCTGGAAAAAGTCATGGTAAAGTCAGGATTAAAAGCTCGCTGTTTAAATACACAAATTCAGCTCACTTCTACAACAAACTTCTCACTTGATTTCTTACATCAGTTCACATTTCTCTGATGACAATATGGTCTCAATCGCAAGTTTCAGGTGTCCTTAAAATCAGCAGAATGCTCATTTGAAGTTGTGGATCAATTTTGTGCAATTTGAAGGATATAGCAGGTTGAGCTTCAAAGCGAGGCTAACTTGCAATCAACAATTTTCTACCACAGCAACTTGGAAACTGTGCTGTTAGTGCTTTGTTGTACTAAAAGACACTCTGAAGAGTCGGCTATTACTTAGTTTAAAGCCAAAGCTAACATCTAAATAAATATGACGTACATAAGGGTTTTTTCAAACACACTAAACTCCTCAGAATTTCCTAAAATAGCTTCATGTGTGAATGCCATTTTACTCCCCGCAGAAGATATATTTAAATATATAAAAATTCACTGATGTTAAAAAGCTGCTGCCGGCATGTGACTGGGGCAATCTCTATGCACATAATGATGCTGCTTCATTATTGTTTGCCAGTATGTTCTCTTTTGTTGATACAGTGAACATGTTGAACAACACATTGCATTAATATAATGTCAAAAACTGTCATCGTAGTACGGAACTCCTGAAGTCCCAAAAAGTATGTGTGCACAAGATAATAACTTGATGATAACTTTTCTGTATTATAGCCTCAGTGTCTGTTGCTTGGTCCACAATTTCTGTGCCATCTTTTGTACCCCCAGCCCCCCTTAACTGTCAGAGAAAGTTTTTGCTCTTAAAACACTCAAAGGCAAAGCTTACAAATTGTAGTCTACTAAACCAATGGGCAATTTCCCTCCGATATATCGATATATATATATTTTTAGCTTTTTTAGCTCTGTTATTAAAGTGTTTGCTGAGCAGAGATGTTGTGAGAAGAACTTTTTTTTATTTAAAATCAAGCTGGATAGAGACAATGAATGAATCAAGGATTTGAGAATGCCTCCCACTCACAACCAGCTGTCTCTTGGGCAGCCATCAAAAAGTAGAGAGGGGGGGGTAAAAAAAAAAATCACTTATCCGGGGTCTGAGCCATTGGGTCTGTAGGGTTAATCCGCGTGCAGGCCCATCAGTTGTGCTTTTACTGAGTGACGTCACAGCGCACAGATTGGCTGCTGTGGTGGAGGGGCGGAGCTACATCTGCTTAATTCTGTTATGTAAAGAAGTATGATAATACATTTCTGCTGCTTGTTGCTGGAGAGTTTATCACAGAGGGGGAGTTCCTATATCTGTATTTAAACAGAGCTGATTGCTTTATACTGCCAGGAAAAATGATGCTGTGCACACTGGATCATGTATGAGAATAAAACACATTCTGTTACGTATGCTTTTGAAGCAGCAGGAGGAAATCCTGCCGGGCCACCAGAAACACCCGGGGCTAAAAAAGAACAGATTAACACAGGTTGCTATATATTTCTGTGTTCCTCTTTTCCCACCCTATGCTGCTCAGACTCTGAGCTAACACGGACTTAATTAGGGGTGCTAATCTGAGGTACAAACCCTCTTTAACAAGCTAAGAATAGTTCAGCCGAGAGCTCACACAGTGCCGAGGTGACCTTTGACCCCACAGGTTAAGCTGCTGCAGATTAATATAGACCAAGGCATTGAACTGGTGATATGCAAACCTTGTAGTTTCATTACATTAACACATCAGAGCTCTCAGGCTGTTACAGAAAGCAGCAAAGCTCAACAGATGGTTCTGATCTTTACTCACCAGTTGACCAGCATAGCTGCGTTGTTCTCCGCTATGAATGGCAGTTCTCCACAGACGCTCCAAAAACACAACAGTAAAATCCACCACAACCGCATTTTCACGCCTCACAGATTTCCATCCACTTCCAAGCCCAGCAGGCGGTCAGATCAGCGTGGAGTTGACCCAGTCGTGCCACCACAGAGCAGGGCTGCCAGCCAGTAGTCCTCGGAGTGAAGGCGACACAGGTGCCCCTTTCAACATTAACATGATGCTTGTCCCCGCATCGCACGGAGCATCCAAACTTTTGTCCGACCCTCTCAGCCCCACTCCGCTTCACTCATCTGTGCACCTGCATGAAATCAACTCTGAAACAGAGCTGCTGTAGAGTTCAAGCTCAGGAAAGAAAGCAAAGTATGTCCCCTTTCAAGAGTGGCCGGCCCTGACCAAACGGGTGGACTGTCTGTTGCAAACACACACACACACACACACACTCACACATTCAGAGAGAGTGAGAGAGAGGCAGAGCGAGAGAGGCAGAGTGAGATACAGGATGCAGATTGTGACAAGGGATTAGTGAGACAGAAAAATCCGATTTTGCCAGGAGAAAGCAGCAGTCATCTGTGGATTTCCTATAGTTTATCAGACTCCGCAGCTCGACAGGATTTTTGTGGTAATAAAATCCTTCAAATGCAATCTTCAGTTGATTAACAGGATATGATGAATTCTACACCCACCTGCTTTTCAATAATTTAGCTCACATTTGGACATGGAGGTTGTCCAGTAAAGTTTACTCATGTATCCCTTAATCACAGTCTCTATGGACTACACATCACCAACAGATTACTGAGGAAAATGAAAACAAAACCTCCCAAACCTAGTTTAAAATGTCAACAAGCATGTGCCCAAACACATTTTTTTTTTTTTTTACTTTATATGGGTTAAATTAAAACCACATTTGTAGATGATTCATTGCTCAAAATAGTTGCCAGCAAATACACTATTAATGCCCATTTAAGTTCAGTGCAGCATTTTAACAGTGCTCGTCTGTTGATGAAAATCGTCCTTTAAGCCTGAAAAATGAACTGATACACTTTGTGCTTGTGGCTTTAAAAGAAAAGAAACAATACACATACATAAACCGTTGTATCTTTTCAGCTTGCAATGATCCATACATTTATACCACCATTGTATTCCAGAAATTACATTTTAATGTTGCATCAGCAATTAAATACAAATATTGAAACGCATGACGTGAACGGACGACTCTTCTCCCTTTACAGAGACAGGATAAAAGTATTGAACAGCAAACTAAGAAGGCGAATAATGCGGAAATGCTGGTGGATGGTGTGTTGTAATATTACCTAGCTTGGGTGGAAACAAATGAAATAAATTCGCTAGAATATTTTACTGATAATCAGTTCAAGCATTTTAGCTACATACCAGGTACATTGATTTAAAGCTGGTTTAGCTTGTTCAGTAGAGCAGGTGCTCAGTATACAGATGCTGAAGTCGTAGACACATCAGCCTCATGTTTCATCTAGGCCCTTTGATGCATTTCTAACCCACTCTCCAACATATTTCCTGTTTCTCCTCACAGACTTTAGAAAACATGGACGAAGTCTTTGGTAGGTCACTTATTGGATTCTAAAGAGTTTTCATGAAGCACAACGATAGAAGTCACCGTATTGTAAATGATGACTCAAAGTAACTTTCAATCCTATCCTATCCTATAACAGGCAAAGAAGAGGAGAAGAGCTGAGCATTTAGCCTCCTAGCAAAGAGTTACAATGCATCAACATGCTTGTCAAATCAACCATGTCCCTAATTACGCAAATTTATGAATAAGGCTAAATCCAAGGCTTAATGAAATCAAGAAAAATATGTTCTAAAGAAATCAGCCTCCTTTAATATGTGTACCAATAATGAATTAAGCTATTGATACTAAAATCTTTTTTTGTACCAGGGTGTAAACATGTTTATATCTGCTGTAAAAATGGGCACTTTAATATAGGACGTAATGGTGATTGCTTGGCTTCTGCAGCCAGCCTCAAGTGAAAACTCATGGAACTGCAGTTTGTTTTTGTTTTTTTTAACAACTGCATTTGTTTCATTTTCAGTTCCAGAGTGATGTAAGTCTCTCTTTAGCTGTTCTTTAAATTACAACAAAGGCCAAAAAGATAATCAAAAAAGTAATCCTCACTATGTGAATTCTAAACTGTTTTTTATTTGGCATTGCAATTCATAAAGTATTTGCTGTTGAATGTATTAAAAGCTGTTGCAATATGTAAAACTAATTTCAACTGGACAAGGCTGGTGTAAGTGTATGTCCTTTGAATTAAAGAAAAGTGTGTTGATTCATCCCTAAATCATTTCTGATTGGCCTTAATAGCCTGTGTAACTTCCATAATCAGCACTGTGGTTTTAGGTAAACATTTATATAATGGGTATACGTAATGTATTTTCTGGGAACTATTTTGAGCCATGAGCTATTTAAAAAGAATGATGTTCCATTGAGTGTTTGTATAGCAGTAGGACAGTATTTGTGGGATTGCCCCAAAATAAACACGGCCTTGTTTCATGTTAATGAGGCTGAATGATGAATATTGGTTTAGTCCATTAATAGCTCACAGTCCATTCATTCTCCGTGTCCTCAGGGAAGGCTTGTATTTTCTGAATCCGGCTGTATCTAATGGTAGTTTTCACTGTTGATGGATGTGTAGAATATTTTGTTGATTAGTATGTTAAGTGTGTTATCTTAAATGTCAGAAAGTTATGAAAATCCTTTAATCCTTGTTTCCTAATGCCTGAGATGACAGCCTTAGTTTGACCTTTGTACCTAAATAATACAAAGAGCACATTCCAGACATTCTCTGAATTTGACACCAAACACTTGAAGGAATCTTGGTGTTCATGTGTTACTTTTAATGACAGCTGTCCTTTTCTATCGGAAAGGTATCTTTAAATGACTTCTTTCCCTGATTTCCGACTCTATCCACTATCCTATCCCTACAATAAAGGCCCAAAAAGCCCAAAAATAAATCTTTTAAAAAAACAAAAACTTTTTTTTACTTGACCTTCAAGGGGGGGGGGGGCATTGGGGCGGGCCGCCCCCCAAATATAATGGTAGGGGAAACACTGCAAAAGAATAGTCATATTTAAGAAGCTGGAAACAAATCATTTCCCCCCTTTTCTTAAAAATACTCAAACAGAATGAAGAATTACTGAAAAAGTTGTTGATTATTTTTAAATATGTCTAAAGGTTTTTCAGAATACTGAAATGTTGACACTTTAGGAATTCCCACTCCTTTGTTTTGATGTTTATCGCAGGTCAATACACGGTGATGATGGCTCACTTCTACCTGAAGAGGAAGATCGGCTACTTTGTCATTCAGACCTACATGCCCTGTTTCATGACTGTGATCCTGTCACAAGTTTCTTTTTGGCTGAACCGTGAGTCTGTTCCTGCACGGACTGTCTTTGGTGAGTTTGGAAACACTCAGGCACATCTGTTATAAAAACAATCCTGGAAATGACTAATGATATGACCCTTTATTAGTATACTATTCTGCAGGAATTTCACTATTAAAGTCTAAAGATAAAAACATTTTGTGATCTGACGTGTGACTTTAATGCTCAATTAAGGATTATGTCTAAATTCTGAAGTAGAGTAGAATTAAATAATAACCAGGTGTTTCCACTGCATGATTTGTCTGTAATACTCCGTAATGTGCCTTCCTTTTACAAAGACTTAATCTGTTGGAATTAAAACAGGAGAGGAAGTCTGGTTGAGTAAAAGTGACCCAGTTTTCTCCTCCACCAGGTGTGACCACAGTGCTCACCATGACCACTCTCAGCATCAGCGCTCGAAACTCGCTGCCTAAAGTGGCTTACGCTACAGCCATGGACTGGTTCATCGCAGTGTGCTACGCCTTCGTCTTTTCAGCCCTCATTGAGTTCGCCACAGTGAATTACTTCACTAAGAGGAGCTGGGCCTGGGATGGAAAAAAGGCAATGGAGGCCCAACAACCCAAGGTGTGTGTGTGTGTGTGTGTGTGTGTGTGTGTGTGTGTGTGTGTGTGTGTGTGTGTGTGTGTGTGTGTGTGTGTGTGTGTAAGTCTGTTTTATTTTGTTCGATAGAGGAACCCCACTTACTTCTTTTGGAGAAGGACATTGAGTACTCTTAATCAATGCCTTTCTTTGTCCCTGCAGAAAAAAGACCCTCTGGCTCTGTCTAAAAAGCCCAACAACACCTGTTCAGCTGGAGTGAATTACACAGCCAACCTAACCAAGGATGCATCCATCTCTACTATTTCAAACAGCACGGCTGTTCAGCTAAAAGCCTCCGAAACCAAGGCCCCAGACCCCAAAAAGACTTACAACAGCGTGAGCAAAATCGACAAGATGTCCAGAATAGTGTTCCCGGTGCTGTTTGGGACCTTCAACCTGGTCTACTGGGCCACGTATCTCAACAGGGAACCAGTGATCAAAGGAGCTGAGTAAGCTCTGCCATCATTCATCTTCCTGACCACCGCTTCAGGATATAATAACTGGATCCCATCAAATTCTAAGACAAGCACTTAGTCTTTGTATCATAGCTGTGGATTTTTATATTATCAAAGTACAGATTTTCCACTACCATATATTCTTCTCTGATTCCGATTACACGACCTGAATCTGCAAACTGGCCAGTTCTGAGTACCAATCTGATACAAGACCAAGCTATCAACTAACCCTACTTATCACCTTGCTAAGAGATTGAATGTCAGCTAATTTCCTTTTATTACTAAGTTTTACAGTAAGTCACAACTAAGAAAAGAACAGATAAATACATTAAGGAACAAATAATAAATCCATTTGGAGTTCTACTCGTTTCTGTTTAATAGTGTTAGAGAGAAACTGTTTTTTTTTTTTAAATATAAATCTGCTTTATTTAGTGTTTTCTCTGGTTTTAATCACAAGGTCAGTATGTTTAAGAAAGGAAGAGATCTGTTTGCTTAATTTGGCTCCCATGAAAAAAACCTCACAAAACATTGAAAAAACACAGACCTAAAAAACAAGCAAAGCTAAGAGCTGGGTTTGCAGACCCTCAAGATTTTCCACTGAAATAAAATGACATCTTTTAGGGCTAATATTTTTTGTATCCAATCAGTGCAGAGAAAGCTGTGCAATCTCACATGTTAGATGATGTTAGATGATATCAGACGCATATTCCGGTTCTGGCATCGGTATCAGAAGAACTCTTCATCAGATAACATTTGCATGTCTGTCGCTTCAGGGACATGTTGCCATGTTTGCCTTGCGTTTGTAAGTACGTATATGATAATATGACTTCTCCTTAAGGACAGATTAAATAAAGAACTCAAGTCTGATTAGTTTTCCATCTCCTGATATTTAAACATTTTAGCATTTGGCATTTATTGTTTCTCGTCTACTCTACAGTACAGATGCTATAGCAAGGCCAAATGCTATTCAAACTATATTTTGATTGTGTTACCTGAATGCAGCTTTTACCTTTCTAACTATTACTTTGTACAAATGGGCTGGATGTCCTCAATGAAAGGCTGGGCCCAGGCCCATGGGACTTTGCTTCCTTGTTAAAAGCAGATGAATAGCCATGCTAAATGTGTTGCCTTCAGAGTGTCAAAGCTCATTATGAATGCACTGATATTGCCTGCAATTGCTTTTTCAGATTTTCAGAGGCCAATTTTTTCAACTCTCAGTAAATTGTTTTTTTTTTTGTTCGTTTTTATTAATCTTTTTGTTTCTGTTTATGTCGAGATGAAATGGGGACAGAGTTGAAAGAACAAAGTGTTTCCAGGTCACCATGTTGAGAATCCTGTATGTACTGTACGTAGTTTAACAAACATGTATATATGCTATGCTTTTAGAAACGCACCACTAAGCCTGTAAGGTTAGCTTCTATGTTATGCATACACAGCAACACAGTGTTACTCTAGCTTGAGCTTTAGCAATTTTGACAGAATATACAATGCTTTTTTAAAACACTGAAACATTTAAAATAGTTAAGTTTTTTGGATCAGTTTGTTCTTTCTATAAGCTTTTATGAAAACTTGCGAATGTTATGATAAATATTCCAATGCTTTGAGCGGGATCACTTTTTTGTCATAATTTAGAGAAACTTAGAGACTTGTCATGTTATAAGGCCGAAGAAAGAGATAGAAAGTCACAATTAAAAGGTTGTTGCATTTTGACCTTTGTTATCCGTAGGGTTCCAGGTAACAACATCAAGTATTAATATAAATGTGTCATCATAAGATGCACAAGGTACCTATAGAGTCCTTATCACATCAGTACAGGTTCCTGCCCTTCTTTGCCTTAAATAAAGGCAAATATTCCCCCCCAAAATGTGAAAAAATTGTCATTATATGTAAAAGGAACAGTTTGAATATTTATAACAATTTGCTTATTTATTTACTTTCTGAGACGTATGTGAAGACGTTGCCACCCTTATGTTTGTACTTTAAATATGTAACTAAAGCCAGGAAATTGTTGGCTTTGCTTATCATAAAAGGCTGGAAACAGCATTTAAATTAAATATGTTTTCCCTTAAGAGTAAGCCCCTCAAAGGCTCACTGATACAAATTCCTACATTAAATGTTTTAACTTGGAGAGAACAGAGCCATTGGTCGGACTATCCCAGCTGTTGCACAAGCTAATATAATAGCATACTTAACTGTATGTAATACAGTAATGTAATAAAAAAACAAATCTAGTTGTTATACACAACATAGTTGTTTTTTTTTTGCTTAGGGACAGTAGATTAATTAGTATTATTGAAAGTCTGGAATAAATCTTTAATCCAACTCTGTGTTAAGTGTTGATTTTACATTCCAAATGATCTCACACATGGGTCCAGCTTGTAAAACAAGTTGCTGAAAGCCAGTGCTCCACATCTGGAGAAAAAAATAATTGGGTTAAAATGTATAGTTTGTAATGAATAAGTGAACAAGGTTAAAAGTATCAGTTGTCAACAAGTGATTCTTGGATGTGGTGGGAACAGTTTATTTCTAAGCAGGATGTACAAGCTTTCCTTAATAGGAAGGCTTTTATGAGTTATTTAAGCTCCTGTGAGGAACTTTTGCATGTCATTCCCCTGTCTCTCTCCCTGATGTCCTACTCTGCCTACTGTCCTAAAGGCTAATGCTAAAAAACAACAACACTATTTTACCAGTTTAATGCATCAGGCATGGTCAATATTTGCCACTGGAAAAGTAGAAAAAAAATTCTAGTCCGAAACCTACCCGGTGGCAGCGGTTACATGCATCAGTATCAATTTCAGTGCGTTTTATAACCAGTCAAAAACTCTTCACAGGAGCTATAAACAATCTTCTAATCTTACTGTATGTCTTTGACTTTGTCTTTTTTGTGTTGTTTTATCTGCTTTCCTTTTTGCCCCTCAACAATCTATTTTGAAGCATCTGCTTTCTTTTCTGGTCAAGGGTTGAATAAAATATGAACGTGATGATGATGTGACTTAATGCCTTCTGTGCAGCCGGGACACTATTTAATGCGTTTATGGAGCACACAAGATGTATTGTATTATAACATTTAAGGTACAGAATGTTCTTTAAATGCAAATATCTGAAGCAATAAATAATGCTTTCATTATGGATAACTTCTGTTTATGGTAAAATGTCATCATGTGACTTTTAATTTGTCTTTTTATTCCATTTTTGCAATAGTCTTTTTCTATATTTGACTATACTTGGATTCATTTAGGCTCTGCTCTTCTCTCTTTGGAAGCACAGTGCTCTTCTTTGTTTTGGTAAAAGACCTGTGAAGGGGACTAATGAAAGGGTCTGATTCAAACCTTTACTTTTTCCTCGATTGTTATGCATACGTGATTCCAAATAAAGCTTCTCTGACTCAATCTGTCTGCTGTGTTTGGTCAGAGAGCCCTGTGATAATGAAACACCCTCATCTTGTTATTTTTGACATGCAGTGACATGTTTGAAATGTCAGGTCAACACCAATCACAGATTTCTCTCAGTTTTATTTTCTGTGAGACTTAATTTAAGTAGACACAGAAGGATGCAGCACGATTCAGTACATGAAGTATTAATCTACATATTTAAAGACATTTATACAGCGGACGTGATAAAACGATGCCTTAATCTTGCTTGATGGAACAACAGCCCGCACGTTCTGCCTCTCCTTTGATTACACACATGCACATCCAGATCATGCAGCTCTACAGTTGGCCAACTGGTAAATCCATCTTGGGGGTCTCTGTGGTGGTGACATCTGGCTCACATCTGTTTGTCAAGGATTTAGCTCCATTTAAGTTGCTTTTCCATTCAGCTGGCCCTGTACTCTGCTGCAAATTAAGCTGCCACTGATGGCACCAAGTGACATCAGTCATACTATGGAGCTGTAAAGGCAAAGATAGGCTACAGTAGACTATGTGTTGGTGGAGAGGGGCTGTCCTTTCTTATCCACCACCACAGCCCTTATAAAAACACACTCACTCACAGAATGTCCTGTTGCACTGAAAAAAACTAAAATCTAAGCAAGTGTATTTGTCTTATTTGTCGTAAAAGAAACACTAAAAATATTTATTTTAAGTCACGTTCCCCTGATGAAATATCTTAGTGTAAGATACAAAACACAAAAGTAAGGCCTGCATTGCTTTAAACAAGTAAAAGATACAGTATATGTCAATGGGGCAAGTACATTTCACATAATCAAGATATTGTATCTCATATCAAGATACTAAACAAGCAAATACATTTGCCCATTTTGCTGATATTTCTACTTATTACAAGCAATAGTCTGGACTTCTTAGATAAACACGTTCCTGAATCTCTTAATGATATTTTCAGAGTAGATGTCCAGTAAATGTCACACTTTAGCATTGGTGTCTCAGACATGAAAAAGTAAAAAAAGGGACCATTTCCTGTCCTCATGTCATGAGGTTAAGGAAAGATGTTAGGAGACTTCATAAAGGACTTAGGGAAAGGCGATCTCGTTGCTCTGACAATTCGACCACATTTCCACTAGGCGACGTAATAATGCAACGGCGGAGGTTAATGACGTGGGTCTGTCTGAAACTGTTCAGAAAATGGACTACAAAAAACGAATCTAAAAAACTTTCCACTGTGCCTTCTTACTGTGAAATATTCCTAATTACCACAAGGTTGGCATTGAAATAATAGGAATAAAGGCTACCAGGCTACAAGTAACAAAAGTGAAACCATCACCTTCCTGTCCACTCAGAAATCAACATCAAAATAAATATGATATTTGTATGAAATTAATTGTTACATTTATGCAAGATATACATAATGTTTTAAACATACACATATACTACTGCACAAAGCATTCTTTTTTTCTTACTTTATTGCAATGTTCGTTTACAGTTTTCATTCACAACGGTGACTTCAGAATGCATTGCAACCTTTTTAAAAAAAATAAAATAAAAAGCTTTCTTAAGGGAATGAAATATGTTAAAGAAAACATCATCTGGCAAAAAATGTCCCTTATCCCTTCCTCCCTTACATGATCGTTCCTAAGCAAAAAAGACAATTTGATTGCACCCTTAGTGTTTTCACTGAGTGCAGCCATTTGCAGGACAAAAAACCCAGAAGGGAGTGTGACTGCTTCTTTTAGAAGGTATATAGTTAGGATATATTTGATATCTGCTTTATTAATGTGTAAAATTTAGCATATTATATTATTATCTCTTAAAAATCATGTTAGATGTTAAAGCGATGAATTCTCCACAAACAAGCATGAGCATTATTCAGACTGTGGCTCCAGGCCAAAAGAAGAACTGGGAAAGTGTTGAGGGTAAAAACTTGTATAGGCATTCTAATATAGGGCACTATTCATTATGGCTGCTATCTATGACATGTCTGCAGAACTGCTGAGTCAGGTGAGATGAGAGGACACTGCTGTGCCTTATGTTCAGACACACACTGCAGCTACTTTATCTGAACATGAACTATCTGAAGCTGCTGCATGTAGTCAACTGCTGCCATTTGATTTTAGTTTGCTGAGTGAGCACTTTTTTATTGTAGCTGCAGAGCCAAGTGTGAATTTAACTTTACTCCACAGTGGCACAAAGGACTGTTAAATTCTAATGTAAAACATACCTACACTTAAAATGATATCATCAAGCAGTTTCTTTCTGACTTGACCACTGCCTTATATTCAGAGGACACTTCAAACATGACTTTTTCAATTCAATTCAATTCAAAAAACTTTATTTGTCCCCAGGGGGCAATTCAGTATATTGTCATGTGAAAAGCCAAAAATTCATTGTACCATAACAATACTGAACTTTATTGTTGTTACAAATTAAAAGTAGGTCACCTTGATTCATGGCTTGCTTTTATACGCAAGTGATAAAAGGTTTTTTAATTGAATACAGCACTAAGAGCACAGTAACAAAGCAGGTGATGAACAAACTCGACAGCAGTAATAACACAGAAAATTAATATAGAAAAATATAAAACAAAACTAAGCATCATAAAATGGAGGTCATAATGAAGCAAGGACAGCAACCAAAAACAAGGCGATAAAAAACAGTCCATAGAAGTCATATGAAAGTTAAATTAGACGTCTCCTTAAGATTTTGTTTCAAAGTTTGCAAATTACAATAAGTGAGCACGATTATCATCACATGTTTAAAATGTACCCAAGCTTCAAAAACAGAAAAAGAGATGAGCCAAAAATTTGATTGGAAAAAAGGACAAATGAAAAATACATTTTTGCACCATCATTAACTAACATTCAGCAGTTTTTAAAATCCCTGCTCAATCAATACACTGTGCAGCAGTGTCCCAGTCATGTGTCTGTTTTTAATGGATGCTGGATGAAGGCTTACACAGTTTTTAGGTCACGTAAGCAGAGATTGTAAAAACTGTCAAAGGTGTCAGTAATTTAACAATGAGACACATGTGATCTCTTTGTGCACTGATGTTTATTTTATTAAGAAATAATTTTTGAATGTAAATGCAACACAGTCAGGAAGACTTTATTCTGCGTGTTGGTTTTATTGTCCATTCTCTGACTCTGTTGCTATGTTTCATTGATTCAGTACACTGTGCTCTCTGTAAGAACTAAAAATAACATATTGGTCGGTATTATGGCGGCCTCAAATGTGATTTAGATTTGACGCGGTGCAGTAAGTGTTTTTTTATAATGCAAGTGTAGTGAAATCTGAGAGACATAGTAGTAAAATGCTTACAGTTCCTTCTCAAAGAGATTAAAAAGGATTTGTGTTGGTACACGGACTGACAGGCTGTTATGGGACTGTTCTCTGTCCCTGTCTGTGTTAAATAAAGCATCGCGATAGTTCATGGAGGAACTCTTTCACCCCATCTGGAATCATCTCAATGATTGGAGTATTGTTTCTACACACTGATCACTGCTTCACACACTCACTGCAGCTGCTGCTGGAAAAGCTTTACGGATGCAATTTGCCCTTATCGACTAAAAGAAAGTAAACAAACTGGGAATATAAACCAGCGTTTAGAGTGATCAAAAATGTTACGGTCAAGACAAACAAAGTTTTTTTGGCTTCATTCAACTCAATTAATTATCTTACAATAAATGGTCAGCGGTGTCCTTATGTTTTTTTTAGTGTTCTGTCATTCCTGCCCATTTATATACACAGTGTGTGGTAACTAATCGTGGACACGATATATGAGTTTCATATGCTGTAAGATATGATACGATTAGATTCAATACCATGAGCTGGCTATGATTAGATACCACATAATATCTGATATGCTACAATTAAATATGATACAATATATTATATTTTAGATATTTCATATGCAATAAGATATGATACATTACAATAACATTAGATGTGATACGATCAGATACGGTATGATTATTTACGACTATTTCATATATGATATGTGATGAGATATGTCATGATAAAATCAAATTTGATATGATGGATAAATAGAGAACTTTGATTACCCCATAGAAGAAATGCATTTTAATAGCAGCTTCAACAACATTCAACAAATAGAAAACAGAGCTAAACTTTTAAAATAAAAAAAGAGAGATGATGAGAAAAGATAGTCTCAAGGTGAGTTTAAGCAGAGTAGATAATAATATTTAAACAACAGGTGATAAACGTAAATTACATTCAGTAATAAACAGCAGGCAGGATATATTCTAACAGAGAGGTAAGTGTAGAGGATAAATGAGTCCAGTTCAGCGACTGTGTGTTTGGCAAATTGTGTATGTAAATTTGTTCTACAGTCTGATCGAGGCAGGTCAGAAAGATCTCCTGTATCTTTTGAACAGCGGTGATTTATTATTCTGTTGCTGAAGCTGCTCTTTAGATTATGCAGCGAGGTGTGAAGAGAGGGGGAAACATTGTCCATGGTGGTCTGACGTTCTGCCAGCACTCTGGACTCAACCACATCCTCCAGATATACGATTCCATATGATACTGTATCATGCTATACAATCCAATACGATAACCGATATGATAACTAAATATATAATATGACAATAACATCACCATACAGTGAATCTGCTTTAATAGATTGATTGTAAAACAACCATATAGCAATAGTTCACAGTGTCAGATTAATTGAAGATAATCTAATGCTTCTTCATCCTTAAACTGATTTTCACAGTTGTCTGTCCCACTTTCTTCTTCTTTTGTTCTGCTGTCGTCTTCTTCTTTGACCATTTAACTTCTCCGATACCCTTATTCATGTCATAGTGCCACCATGAGGAGTCATTAAGTAGTGTTGCAGTGAATCGAGGTGACAGATAAATCAGTTGTGATTCAATAATTGTCTCATGAGAGTCCGGACAACAACACACAACGAGATACATTTTGCTGTATCAATATTTTGTCCCACCCTTAAAACACAAACTACACAAACCAAACTACCCTGTTCTGTCAAACTTTGAGCAGAAATACATATTTAAATATTCTAATAATCATACTAATGCTATCAAATTAGATTTAAAATCTTTCTTAAGAAATTCAAAATAAAACATGTTTAGACTTAGTGAACTAAATAAGAACAGGTATGCTGAGTCAGCATGAAACTATTTTAATAATACGCTGTCTCAATGTATTAAAGATACATTTAAACTATTCTTATGCAATAATAACTGTAATAACAGAATAAACATGCTCAGTATAATGCTCTTAAATCACTATAGTCTACACCCCACCTTCATCAGCACACCTGACCAAGCCCCTCGCCCAACATTATAAAGCTCGCCCTCAGTCCTGCCACTTCCTTGTTCCCACCAAAACCAAACCAAACAATCAAGGAAGCACAATGTGAGTTATAAAAGGAACTTTAACCTTTTTGTAGTTTTGTTCAGTTGATATAAACGATGTGTTGTTTCCAATATAAACGTGTCTCTTATTTAGTTTGCTAGATTGTGAAAAAGAGTGAAATATCTGAATGTGGACCCATGAATGATGCAAGCTAAAGCTGCTATGTTGGGTTTTTAGTAGTTAATGAAACAGACTCAGATTATTAAAGATGCCTCTATATGACCTACAAAAGCACACATGGTCATCATGAAGAAGAAGTATTATTACTGTCAAGTTATTGGTGTAGTCTGTTAGTGCGGCTGTCTGGAAGGTGTGGGAAGAAGTGACTGCACACTTTAAATCTCAGAAAAGATTCACAATTACTGATACGTTTGAATGTTAAAAGAAAGCTAGAAAGGCGTTTTGTCGATATCTCCCTGAGTCATGACTGTCTACAATAACTGAGAAGCGTGAGTCCCGCCAGCTGTATTGTTGTGAAGCTGTGTTTCCATGGACGAGTCGGCCTTGTGTATAAAGCTGTTTTAGTCAAGAACAAGAGAAAAGAAGAATGCCATAACATACTCAATGCTTATTTGGATTTTTGGATGTCATATTAGTGTCTTTAGATCACGGTCATTCTGTGTCAATTTATGTGCAATGTGAATCCATGATTTAAACCTCAGTGTGCTAACTTTAGCGTGCTAACCCAACAATGCAGGTTAAGCCCTCTTTTAAACCTTAAGACTCTTAATTGTTTTAACGTCATTAGAGCTTGGGTTTAAATGTGTATGCAACATCAGGTTTTCTGTGAACTAACGATAGCAACAGTATCTAGTTTTTTTGAAAAGAAAAGTCATATGGGAAGACTGAGGTTGTGTATCCTGCAGCATGCGGAACATGACTCACCAATTATCAATGTTCAGCAAGGTCCCAGTGCATTGATGTGAGAGATGCATGCTCTTATCAAATCTACATAAACCCCTCCCCCTGCTGCTGCTGCTGCTGCTGCTGCTCTGGTTCCTTCCTCCTGTTAATCCCCTCTGCTTGTTCTCCCCTGCCTGCATTTCCCCTCTTACCCAGCAGAGGGCGACAGCAGGCAGCTACAGCAGCAGCTGCAGACAGTCTTTAGTGTCACAGGAACATCCCTGTCTGTGAAACATGTGGAGCCTGTAGCTGTGTGCAGAGAGTGTGAAGATGCTGAGGGTTTATTTTTCTGTCAGTGTGAAAGAGAATCTGCCGTTAAAGACACGATTCACATTATTTGGTTCCATCAAAACCAAACAAATCTATATTTACTGGCTGTCAGCGAGGGATTGTTTATCTCAGCAGTTAATTTCTACCTTTCAGGAACCTTGTGTATGTGTCAGAAAAACACAAGAGGCTGCATGGCAGAGAGAGAGAGTGTTTTGTTTTTGGTGTTTCACTGAGGCTCAGTCTGATACATTTGTTCCCCTGGATGCAGCATGTTCTCATTTGTGTTATTTCTTATTTTCACCAGACTCCTGCAGTTCACTTCACTCTCTCTCTCTCCGGAGCATGTCTCTAAAGATAGAACAATCTTTATTTAAAGGGCAACTGCACAGATTTTCTGATATGAAGTTCAGTAAACTGGCTCCTGAGAGAGCTTCTCTATGGTGCCTGAGAAGGGCAAACATGCAACAACAACCTTTCTTTTCTTTTTTTTAAACAGTTTACACAATTATTCTGAGGTCATAGTGACATCTTCAGAGGTATTGGGCTTTTAGACTTGTCGTATATCCTGGAGGTGTGGGAACATTCAGGGGCATGCTATTGAGATGCTTTATGTGAAATGCTTGATTTATTTTGTATTTTGGGTCTAACAGGGTGATCGCTGAATCTTAAACCTGCATTCTTTCTAGTGGCCACCAGAAGGAGACCTATGTAAATATAAATCAAAACAAATATCTAATGACTTTTTATTGCTAATTCTTCTTCTTCGTCTTCTTTAAACGGCATGTTTATTTAGGTAGTTACTATGTAAAATATTTAAATAAGCAGGATATGTTTTTGGTAATTATCATGTGGACATTAAACAGTTGATTCATATTAGAAGACTCTGAGGAGTTGACATGTTCTGTTTTTAAAAGCGATTGCTACATGAGGCATACACTGTCCTATTTCAGGAATGATTTTGAAATCGGGACGACTTTTAGTTTGACTGTTCATCGTGAGCTGATCAATCCCAGATCTGCTGCTCTTGACCGGTCCAGTGAATTTCATGTTTGGAACACTGCATACTATCGCAGCGAGAGCGGAGCCTCCAGCTGATTCCCGGCTAAAGGGGAAGAGAGCGAGAGAGTTTCTGATGGTGTACATATTTCAGCAGTGCATAAGAATTGACTGTAATACACGTAGATCTGACTTCAACGTGTCTGTGGGAGTTTTAAGCATAAACTTTATCAACTATCAAAGTTCCATCCCAATTTAACCCTAACAGTGTTAGCACTCAGGCTCCAAAATCACACAAGTTTATTGTGCTTTGGTCTAAGATTAATGTTTAAATGAATATCATACTCATCAATGCACCTTGATAAGAAATGTAGTGCTTGAGTTTTCTGATCAACTTGCTTGCAAACCTCTTGCTGCTCTCCAGTCCAATTATGGTCACTTTTGACTCCCCAAAAATGACATTGCGGCCGCCATAAAATGATTGAGGTTGCTTTGTCCACTTGACCCTCTATGAACCTGACCAATACTGAAGTTTAAAAATTAGGATATTTTGGCCTTTGTAGAAACAGATTTTCAATGTTTTCCATTTTTTTACATGAAAGCAGATAACTTTGTTTCTGAGTTCCTGAAGTGTTTAACATCAGTTGTGAAAATATAACAGGGACTTTACTGGAGGTAGACTGTGTAAACACAACACAAGGGCTCTCAATTACATTCACCAACAGTGCTACAAAGGTGCCTCTAAACTGTGGCAGGCAGCATGCCAATTAGCGGGATTTGGCAGCTTTGAAAAAAGCTCCTGTAGCACTTTGAAGTGAAAGCTTTCAAATTAGTATTTGGCGACTGAAAAGGGCTCCAGAAAGGACAAATAACCTGTTCTCCGACTGCAGGCACATCATCTAAAAAGCATACATTATGGTTGGTAAGAGCAACATTTTACTATGTATAGGACTTTACTATGTATAGGACTTTACTATGTATAGGACTTTACTATGTATAGGACTTGCAAAACGGGTTTACTTTGATGCAATTAATATTCCTGGCACATTTATTTACCCTATAGTTAAAACGAAATACCTTGCCTAATAGAACAGTCTTCAGGCTAATTAAAACCCTTCAAGAAATCGCAAGTGCATGTATTATTTTTATCCGGTGCAATTTCCTAAAAATAAAGAGAGAAAAAAATGGGGAAATGAAAGGAAACAAGTTTTGATCTGGTCAAAGTGTGCTGTAGACAGAGGTGTGACGCAGATTTCTCCCCGTTCAGGAGTTTGGGATGAATGAGGGGTTTTCGGAGGACGCATTCAGAGTGCGCGCACCTGCGTAAAACCAGCAGAGCCCGAAACAAGGATACAAGCACACACCTCACCCAGAGAGAAAGAGAGAGGAGCTGCTCCTCTGTGTGAACACGGCTTACAGGAGGGATCCGACACGATTGATTTAAACAATGATTTCTGTTGGATTACAAACTATGAGAAGCTTTTTTCTCAGGTTATCCTCTGAGCAGCTGTGACCGCCGGACACAGACACAGACACATCCACACTTGTTGTCAACCTGCAACAAACATGACATCCAAATCACTGGCTTATGTCTTTTTTCTGTCTGCCCTGCACACTTGGTAAGTGGCAAATCTTTGCTTCAAAACTGCCCTAAAAATACTGAAGGAAACGTTGTGTTGTGTTCAGGGATCCTGGAAAAATTTACTCTGCTCAAACGGTGACGTTCGTGAAGAAAACTTTGTGTTTTAACTTTATCAATGTCTCTTTTACGATGTTTCCGTGCACACAGTCTACTCAGTGTCCTGTGTTTCATTACCTGTATTCACTACCTTTCATTTCAACTGTGCAGCTCTCTGACAATCGAGTACGAAGAGGAATACGAGGATGTCACCGTAAACCAAATGTTGGCTCCTAAATCACAAGAAACAGACGCCACGGAAATACTCAACAATTTACTGAAAGAATACGACAAGAAACTGCGGCCGGATATTGGAGGTAATTCATTATTTTGTCACTGCCCCCTGCCATGTTGTCGTATCTTGAAATATATCATTCACCAAACAAGACCTAAATTCAAGATAAGCAACAATAAAACGTCTCCAGATAACCTGTGTGAACCTCCAGATTCAGTTGGTATTGTTTGATAAAATTGCAGATGGGTCTATTCTAAGAGTCCTAAAGACACACCATAAAACCACAATATATACAGTTGAATACCTCACAATAATAAAGTGTGAAAAAAATGATGCAATGTACAGTCCTGAAGTTTCTGTAAATATCTTAAAAATCTATTAAGATGTTTCATAACAGCAGTCACATATAATGAGTGTAATTGTCTTCAAGGTCAGGCATCACAGCTTCGTCTAACAGCTCTATCCATCTTGTAAGTTAGGTGATGAGGTGACATCTCTCTGTAATGTGTTTATGACACACTCTCACACCTCCATAACAGCTTATTAGCTGTTTGGATATCTAGAACAAGCCTCACACTATAGCTGCACACAGTATGTCATCGCAAATAGTATCAGGAAGCACAGTTAGACTAGAATAACAGGCTGTTTTTTTTATAGCCGAGTCATCGTTTTGCAGAAGAAAATTGCAACATATTTATAAAGCTGAATGTGACATGCTAACATAATAAGTCTCTAATGTCGATAAATGTTTCGGTTGTTTTTTATTTGGGGAGGTTAAAAATGCTAAAAATTAGGAATAGCCTGTCTCTTTTCTTTCAGGCTGTTTTGGCCTTCACATAATGGACACATCTGTGTGTATTATCCTTCCTGCACAATTGTTACTTGCGAAATGAATTAAAAAAAAAAAAAAACCTTTTATTAATGTTTAAGTGCATATTCAATTCAAATCAGAAGTTTTTTCAGAATGACACAACTCTTTCAGGACTTATACCTGAACTAATTACTATATCACATCTAGCAAAGGGAACATGTTTCACTGCTCTGTAGTCTAAGGAACATTTAATATGATGCTGCAATGCTAATGCATTGATTTAGATTGGAGAATGGACACTTTCAATAAAGTGACCATTATAGAGAAAGCATGGACAACCTACAGCCAATCAATATTGAGTATTGACCAAGACATCTCTCAAAATAGGTTGCTATATAAGCTTTGAAATGCCAAGTTAAACTTAAAACATCCATGACTACAGTGGTATTAACGTGTTTATTAAGGGCGCTGATTTAATTATAATGTTACTCCTGTAATCAGTGTTGAAAAAAAAAAGTGTTTTTTTTCTAATAAATGAAAGATGTTTATTTACTGTGCAAAGTAAAGCAGCTGGATGGCGATGCTAATGATAAGGAATGTGTGTGACTGCAGTGAATGTACTGTGCACCTGGCTGTGATCAGGATGAATGGCTGAATATCTAACGAGGGAAAATACTGACCCACTTCTGGAAAGACAAAACTTTATTCACAAGGTTTACAAGGTTATTCCAGGAGAACCTGAATGTAACACGCTATAAATAATTAGTCTCTAAAATGTGGGTAAAGGTTCCCAGTCATGTTTTTTTTTTCATGTTTTTAAAATGCTAAAAGTTAGGGAACAGTATTTCTCCAGCAGAGAGAAACCCCCCCAGTCTCTCAGCTGTTAGTTAGATTCTGACCTGCAGTAACAAAGGTCACGAAGCAGCTCATCAGCATCTCCTCATGAATATAAATTACTTTTGGAAGCTGGAACTTTGAGTGCAGGAGGGTGATATGAGTGTTTCTATAACGCAGACTTTCTCAGGTCTAATCTGAATGAGGAGATTTTCGGTGTAGGTTTTTTCATCTCTGGATGTTTTCAGTGTCGAGATAAAAAAAAGTTAGAATATTCTCGTATCTGTCCACGATGTTTATGAGCTATAGTGGATGCATGCTCAAGATAGGTTTTATATAGTTCTGTCACTTGTTTCGCTTCAGTAATTGGTAGAAACAATTTGTGTTATTATTGGGTAGGACAACAACAAAGAAGTTAAGTTCAGGTGTCCATCTACCTAAAGGGCCTGAACTATAACAGTGCACAGAGCAGCAGGTTCATCTGACACTTACAGTGATTTTAACTGCCTGTTTTTTCATAGTGCCACTTTTGAAATGACACACTTTCTCAGACATGGTCGTTATCCAGGCTTACTGTTTGTCTGTTTTTGGCTGGTTGTGATTTCTCACATGTGATTGCCAGTTTGCAGGAGAATGAGTTTGGAACTTCTCTCTTAAAGTTTGGTTTTCCAGTCAACAAGTGCCGACACAGATGCCTCTGAACGCTACAACTAATCAGAGCAAAAACAATATTAAGCAGTTGGTTGCAAGGTGAGGAAGACACAAAGTATAGACTGCAAAACACTGACATAGTCTCAGCGATGTTACGTATTTAATTTAATCATATTTTAAATGAGACACACTGTTTTTATTTTCCTCTCAGTCAACATACAACATATCCTCCTGTCAGTCAGCTCAGCAACACTCCCCCAATTAAGAGTCTTTTCTTCAATATGACAAAGTAGATAAGTAAAACATTTTTAAACATGTTAATTTCCGGGCATTTCAAGATGGGCTCTGATGGGGATTCCTTGGTTGTTGTTTTTTTGACAGTTCCAAGTGGCGCTTGAGGAACTGCAGTTTTTGCACCTCTGCATTGGCTTCATTTTTCTACACCGGAGGTTGCCGGTTGGTTCAAACATCAAATTTATTTGGCTTTATAAATAAATCTATGGTATGATATGAACTGGTCACAACCTTTTCTTAAGCAGTTAATTTGATATTGACTCTTACAGCAAATTCAGAGCTCTCCATGACAACCATACAGTCATCTTTGGTGTTTATACATTTCTCTCAAAATGAAACCCCATGTACCTCGTATCTGGCCCATGTGTTCTCGATCACTTCGTCTGACATCCTTGAGGCAGAACTGACAACTAATCAAATGTTTAAAAACATTAAAATATATATAGAGAGAGATTAGATTAGATTAGAAAACTTTATTGATCCCCAGCGGGGAAACTCATTTGTCACCTGGTCAATTCATACACACAACAAACAATATCTACAGTACATCACAGTACACACCAAGTAAATAAATAACAAACACCACTGAAACCATTTGAATAATCATGTACAGCCATGAGTCAGAAACACAACTAAAAAGAGATGGATATCAATTTATTATATCATGGTATATACATTTATTTATATTGTTGAGTAGACTTCTTTTCATATTCATTTCTATTTTCTTGTGTTAGAATAAATTAACTGTCGTTATCTTTTCAGTGATATAATTTTCTCCAAATACATGCGTCTGTAACACCACATCTCTTTATATCTCTCTATTACCCCTGTATCTCCCCATCTCTCTATATCTCTTTATCTCTCTCTCTGTATCTCTATATCTCTCTGTCTATAACTCCATATATCTTTATACATCTCATTTTCTCTGTTTGTATATCTCTTTCTCCCTATTCTTCTGTCTGTTGTTCCTCTTTATCTCTATCCCTATATCTCTATATCTCTTAACATTTCTTTGTGTCTAAATATCTGTTTCTGTACCTCTTTCTCTTTATCTCTCGCTCTCATATATCTCTCTTTAGGTGTCTCTGTCACTATATCCTCTTCTCTATATATCTATATCATTTTATCATTTTCACTCTCTGATTTTTTTCACCCCAGCCCTCCATCTGTCTCTCTAAATAATATCTGAAGTGTGACACATTGTTTCAGAATAATATGAGAAGTGGAGGTATGAGATAAAATGTTTGCAATTGAAACTCGAATGCAAAGCTGCAGTGACAGTTAAAATCGTGTTTCCCTGTACAGTCAGTCTTATTAAAGTAGTTTTAACAGGCGGTCGTTAGCATCTGTTTTACTTCAGCCTTAGGCCAGTTGTTGCATTCTACACCTGTTACCATGGATATGGAGCCATGTAAAGCGGGGCTGTTCCAGGCGTACAACGAGGGGACAGAAGAGAATAAATATTACTGGTACACTGGATGTCACTGGGGGGGCACACGTCAATGCCCTCACACATCGAGCGGTGGAAAAGACCTTTTGAGGCAGTCCTGAGAGAGTGGATTCATCTCTCACATCCTAAGTGCCTCGTTCTCTCTGTCACTTTATCCATGTGTCACTTTGACTCCGATAAATAACCCCCAACCTCTCACTGGCCTCCATTTATGTAGCACATACAGGTTTGTTTATTTCACGTCCGCTCGCTCGGAGGCAATCATCTGCTGCTTTTATTTATTCGATACATGTTGAAAGGTTTTAATAGCTTTAAAGTTTCCAGATCTGTGTGGTAGAGCAGTGCTTCCCAAAGTGTGGGCCCTGGACCCCCTGGTGGGCCATGCGGGTACTGCAGGTGGGCCGCGAAAAGCCCTCCAACAAGTATAAAAATAAAATAAATATCACAATAATGATGATTCACCATGAGTCAACCCTTTAAGTGACTAGTAAGGCTTGTCATGACTATTCATGGATATAATGTTTCGTAAACTTCCGTGTCTCTCTTGTCATAATATCATGTTGTCATGTCCAATAATTTTACCCTAACTGAAAGTGATACTTAAACTTAAGTTTGGGAAAGGCTGTCGTAGAGGAATGAAACCTGAACTTCTCCTTCCCTTACTCTACGCTCTAACTTCTGTCTCTTGTTGCACAAAATAAAACGGTTGCAAAAAAACGTTACTTATGGCTGTGGCGTTTAGCTTTTGGGAAGAACATTTTCCACCTTTTAAATAGTAGTTTCTAAGGTCGATTTAATAGCACAATAACTTTCAACTGGGAGAAGGGTGTCTCTCCCATGGCCACAGCACGAGCAGGTCCCACATCCCTGCAGATATTTTTTGGGCTGGATTGTTATTGTTGTCATCGTTGTATTGTGTTTAGTAGCTTTACTGGGTTGGAAAGTCATCTAACGTAAGTTATGTCTCAGGTTTGCATACAATTTAATAATTAATAATGGGGCGCTGGAGGCATAGAGGTTAGGCCATGCCCCTTGTACAGAG